CCAAAGCGTTGGAGCGAAGAAATTCCCGGAATAGGTTGAAAGAGACTGGAACTCCACAGCAATCACAAAATAAAGAATTAAAAAAGTAGTATGGTAAATAACAAGGTAAAAATGATAACAAAAACACCCGGGCCCCTCAAATTGTCAGAGCTCGATGATCATTGTGTAGGCCTATTCTGTAAGGAGGTATTTGAGGTGGAGATTAGTGTGGACGTTGAGGAAGATTAATTATCACCTTCTTTATTTGAAAAAGTGAAGCAGCCCATCCGTCCCAGTGTTCCCCCCCCCCCTTGCGAAATTTGAGATTACTGTAGTCAGCCGGCCTATTACGTCGCAACCCCAACCCAATTCGGAATTTGCCCCATTACTTTTAAATCTCTTCATACCACGAGTTGAGCGAGTACTGAAAGCGGAACACAACCAGCCAGCGTCGATGAACATGGTGTAGTACCTGCCACGTGCCACCAGTGAGGCTTTGACTATCTTGTCCAATCGCTACGGGACCACCACTTCCTTTAAATCCATTCAAAAACGCCGCGGGCGGGCTACCGTCCGGCTTGCCTTCATTTGCTTTTCCGCTCGTTTTACATGTTCTAAGGCCATGTGCATAATCTAGTTCGCATCGCACATATCTTAAATAACCCGTAGTAGTTAAGTATCTATAAGGTTCTTCAGTGGGAAAGAAAGGGGAACGGTAACGGGTAGGGCCAGTTCGACTCCGTCACATCTCATTGGTCGTCACAACTCAAGCCTTGTCACGGGGCGGGAAGGGGGGGGGGGGTAGGAATATGCGACTTTAGAAATACTGGCGCGGCAGCACCGGTAGAGCTGGTAACAATGTAGCCTCCACACGCGATAGACTGCAAAACTCAGGCGAACGCGCGCGTTCTAAGCCTGCTTTTATACTTGCGCCGGGGCGGTGTGTGGAGTGGGCGAAATGTGTGCAAAGCACGAAAGCCACAACTGTGTATGCTGGTACAGAATTCGAGAGACCACCGTCTGATATGAAGATTTCCAAACCGTCGCTAAACCACGACGCATGCGAACGCGACAGTCATGCGCCAGGATAGACGGCTGGCGCTTTTCGTACTTTCCACACGGTCCATAGGTATCCTATCCTTCCAGAAAGTGGTTATTACGGCCTTTGCGCTCTACTGCCAATGGGAGCGCGCCATATCGCGCTCCCTCTGCGCATAGTATAACGGCAGTTACCACCAAGAATCACTCAGCGTTTTTTGAACGCTCCTGGACTTAGTTCTAGTAACACCTACCAGTGGCTTTCACATGCTCTGCTGTAAATGTCGGTGCTATACAAGTGGGGTGGGCACGCCCAGCTTTTCACGCATGTCAAGTGACTGCCCTCACCCCCCACCCCCTAGATTGGCTACACTCCCCCTGGCTCACGAATTCCCCGATTCTCGTGACAGTATAGTAGTGAGCAGCAGTCCCACTTAGGCCGATGTCAGACTTTGCGAATCGCGCGATTCGCTAGCGTCTGCGCGTCGCGGCCAGTGAATCACTCAATTGGCTGGTACCGCAACGCGACCGCGGACGCTAGCGAATCGCGCGAATCGCTAGTAGCGAATCGCGCGAATCGCTAGTAGCGAATCGAGGGATTCGCAAAGTCTGACATCGGCCTTACATATATTCCCGTTCAAAAAATGCGGCGGGCCCACCTTACTTGTATAGCACCATA